TTCAGCGATTTATTGGCTACATATATAGTTATAAGTAATAATTGCTTTGTAAATATTTATATAAATAATCCCATCCAAGATTTTATTTGATTATATTATGATATATCAAGGAATCGAAACTTTTGGGGTACCAATTTACAAATTTAGGATATAATATGTACAATTTAATCGTTGTTAATATTAATAATGCATAATTATATTCTGATACGTACACATAAGATATGTATATGCTGTTGCTGTCGGAAAACAGTCATATAATTAAATAATCAAGGTAGATATATCACGAATATTATGCTCAAATTATATTCATCACTAAAATTATACAAGTTATTCCATTCTCTAATTATATTTCTATTATTTATTGTTCGTGATTGTACATTATGTATATATGATGTAAGTGAATATAATATTCGCATTATGTTTTGTCATACGATAAATAAATAATATAATATCCGATATAATGCGTGTTTTTAAATTAAATCTTGTTTCAAATTTATTTAAAAAAGTTTTAATCAAATTCATAATGCATATTTTCAATGTTAAATGGAATAGAAAAAAAATCGATAATTAAAATATTACGCACGAGTAATTAAAACTTCGCTTTTATCATTTGTAAGTAGTCCGGAACATTAAATACGATTTATAAATATAGAGCGAATGTAAGACAAGGAGAGTGTATAGTTAAAGAAAGATAGAGATAGATTCAAAATTACGGAATCAGCGCCATCTTCAGAGTGCCGCAAATGAAACACAAATAAATAAGGACAGCATATACTAAAAGAAGGATAGAGATAGAATAAGAATTGACCGTCAGCGCCATCTCTCAAAAATTGAAGGAACCTTTTCAATATGGATAAAGTAGGCTAGGAATTAAACAGCAGCGCCATCTCTCGAAGACTAAAGGAACCCTTTCAATATGGATAAAGTAGGCTAGGAATTAAAAAGCAGCGCCATCTCTCGAAGACTAAAGGAACCCTTTCGATATAGATAAAGTAGGCTAGGAATTAAAAAGCAGCGCCATCTCTCGAAGACTAAAGGAACCCTTTCAATATAGATAAAATAGAGTAGGAATTATAAGCCAGCGCCATCTCTCGAAAACTAAAGGAACCTTTTCAATATAAAGCGGGGTAGGAATTAAAGATCAGCGCCATCTCTTGAATAATTATGGAACTAATTTTTGAAGAAATTTTTGAAAACTTCCTTCAAAATGTGAAAGATGGCGCTAATAGTCAATTCTTATATTTCTATCCTTGTCATAATATTTGCTGTCTTTATTTACTTGTGTTTCATTTGCGGCACACTGAAGATGGCACTGATTCCACAATTTCGTAGCTATCTCTATCCTTTTTCAACCATATGCTTTCCTTGTCTAATTTCGCTCTGGCTATACGATTATTAACAAGATACGGAATTTAATTCAAGATTATTTTCATCGCTTTTTTTTTCAAAAATACAAAGTGTCCAAATCTTTAAATGTAAAATATATATATTATAACGTTTTTTTTATATTCTTTACACAATGCTTCAAAATATATTTTTTCAGATTTAATTCTAAAAAACTGAAGAATCTTTTATTTCTTATAATATTAATAAATATTTTAGATAAAAATTAAATAAATAAAAAAAAATTAAATAAAAAAATTAAAAAATTATATAATATATAAATGCTCATATTTTATATATAAATTTAATAACATGAATTAATATAAATATCAAGTGATTTATTGATATAAAAATTTTATTATTAGATTTAAATAAGATGAAAAAATATTTTGTTCTGAAAATTGAATTAAATGAATTTTTCCAAGTTTTCGTAATTTTAAAGATATTTACTTTTTGCATAATATAGTATATTATAATTATGTGTATATAATAATATTCTAATATATTAAAAACAATATATAATATTTTCTTTTTCTAATTTAACATAAAATTACTCATTATAATTTTTTTTTTACTTTTATAGACAATTCTTCTTCATTATTGCCAACTAGATTGTTATTTCCTTTGGGACAGAAGGTAATCAGTAGTACCTATAATTGTATTTCGATCCTGATAGCTTGTCACATTGATCTGTAATAATATTACACATCGCATAAGACGATGTGCAGTCTGGTTTCTTATAAAAGCCGAGCCTTCTTCCGAAAACAACAGATCACAGCGATCCTTCCTTTCGAGAAGACATCTTCTAGCTTAAGGTAACGATCAGAATTACAATTTACAGTTATATCGTGCAAAGAAAAATTTAAAATTTCATATAAAATTTTCTTTAAGTCTTCTGTGATTTACTAAAGAAATTTAGATACCCTTTGCTTTTTATTTCTGTTGGTACGGTATATTTTTAACATAAAAAATATCAAATCGATATGTTCTTAGACCAACTCTTTGTTCAGTTCACTTGTAAATAATGTAGGCGAATCTGTATTTGATAGGGATATTTATCTTAGGCTCATTTCTCTACTATAAAAGCTCGAAGCTTTTGCCTTGTTTACAACATTCGCTGACCAACTACCGCACAAGTCCCATCGCCTTTTATATTTGTGAGTAAATCGACTATTTCTTGTTGAAAAGAAAAGTCTTTAACCGATCAAAGTATAACTTCGAGAAACTTTCAAACTAGTATTTCACCATACTTTTATTTTCTTTCTCTCGTCGTAATAGTTCTTAGTTCAACGAGTAATTTAAATAATAATCAAATAATTTTTAATTCCAAATAGCTCGCAAACAAAAACTCAAAATGGTATCCACCCGCCTTGTTCTCGCCGTGGTTGCTGCCCTCTTCATCCTCGCCATCAGCGTAGATGCCGCTTACAGAAAGCCTCCTTTCAATGGAAGCATTTTCGGCAAGCGATCCAACACCATCACTGGTAATTTTAAAATTTATCAAATTCTCAAATTTCTCGATTTTTTATTTTCATTCGTCTCTAGTATTCCTCGATATATCATTCCTTCCTTTCGATATAAATGATTTTTACTGTTCGTGATGCAGATTACGAAATCACAAGCCGAGCCATGTCGTCGGTCTGCGAAGTCGTCAGCGAGACATGCAACGCTTGGCTGTCACGTCAGGACTCCAACTAAAGATACCGAACCAAGATTCCAGCATCAAATTCTAATATCTATCGCTTAATATACGTTATCTGTACGTCTAATAGTGTGAAACATGCTGATATTTGATTCAACGATCACTCTACTGCTTTGAAATTCGTCGCATCGTCCAGATCACTCGTCCTCGTAGGATAAGGCTTAAATCTCATTATCGATATTATAATTAATAATTCTGTAAATGTTTCTGATATAATAAAGTCTGATATTCCTTCAAATTATTTCAATGTTTTAATTCATCATGCTTCTGTCATTAATTTAATTTTAATTTCCATTTTACATTTAACATTAATTTCCATTTATTTTTCTATTTGAAAATTTATAGATATAAAATATTGTAAGATAATTCTTCTTATTTAAATAGTGTAATAATTTTTAAATGACATTTATAAATGTAATATTCAATATATGAAGAATAAATTTTTTTCTTTCAACTTTTGCTCCTTATAGATTCCAAACAAAACTAATCCTCTAGGATTTAAAGAATCGTTCCTTGCATTCTATCGAGAAAGCGTTCGATTTTAAATAATCTACATATCGCGTAGTGGAGATTCCAGAATTTCCCAATATCTGAAATGCAGATCGAACGATTCGATATGGAGAGCACGTTTCGATCACCTGCCGGAATAAGGGTTATACTGACTCTTGCGTGAACGAGAAAACAATTTTTGTAAGCAAAATAATTGACCGATCAATGTCTTCCCGAAGAAAAAATAAACGATAATAAATTTATACAAATAAATCATTTGTATTAAATAAAAAAAATCATTTCGTTGCATCAAGAATATTTCTCGAACAACTCTTTCATTTTTATCTCCTTCAAACTTATCTCAAAAATTACAACGAAACGATCCCATATAATCGTATCAACATCTTTAAAATCTGAAACTGGAAAATTTAAAAAAAAAGAAAGAAAAAATAAACTCGAAACGAACACACACACACACACGCGTTTATTTAATGACTCAAATCATTCGACACGAATTACCTGAACAATAAACAATTGTTCCAATTATTCCTCGGACAAAAATTACTCGACGACAATCCGCTTAACTTGAAATTCACTCGACAACGGTATAGGGGTGCAACAAGTGTCCGCTCCGATTTGCATTAAAATCGACCTGATCGAAATACCTAATTGATCCTCAATCCTTGCATAAATACCGCGATATCGAACGCTTCGGTTCAGTTTATCGTCACCCGCGAAAAGGTAAGTAACTATCGACACGTGTTGGAAAATCGCGCTTATCAGGTATGAACTGATTTCAATATTCTCTCCTTTAAACGTTCTCTGGCTTCTCCAATTATACGGAAGAAGAAAAAAATTACATACACACACACACGCACGCACACACAGACTCGGATGTGTTTCCATAAAAGGAAACAGATCGATCATTTTACGCGTAATTCGGATCTCGAAATTCGTTTGTTTCAATGTCGAAGGAAAACGAACGTACGAACCGTTACAGTTATACGTTCTTGAAGATTTCTCACGCGTGATCATCGCGCAGATGCCACGACAAACATCCGGAATATTTAAATGCGATGGGGTTTCTCTCAATGCACACTCAACTATACATTCGCCCACGGACACCCCGAGCATTCTGTCCACTTGTCGCGATAATGGAAGAAGTCTTAGGAAAAATCGCTCAGTTTCCACCATACACTCGTGGAACGCGTGTCGCGTGCGATCTATCTTCTTTGATAAATTGTTCTCGATACGTTTTCGAGGAGGAGAAAACGAGGATGGTCCCATCGGGAGTGGACCTAGTCTCGAGATAAGATTCTTCGTTACAAACGTGATCGTTTACAATTCGATTCGATTGGTCTCTCTTAGAGAAAAAGAGAATTGATTGGGGATTCGATCGGTTCGTTTGCAGATCCGTAGCGAGACCATGACAAGTTTGCGTTTTTTGGGATTCGTGCGTTGTTTCCTCGTTGGTGGTGAGTTCTTTTGGAATATCCCGTTTTCTTTCATGTTGGTGAGTTTTTTCTTTTGAAATACCTGTCTTCCCTTCTTTCGTTCTTTCCCTAATCGGTGAGGCTCGATATAGTTTTCTTGAGTTGACTTTTTAAACATTTCTCTCCAAATTTTCTAGCCATCTGGATTCTAGCAATTTTGGCATTGCTAATTTGTGAAAATACCTCGACGGCCGACGAAGTGCCTGCTTTCTTCCTGAAAATCGCAAAGAATATTCCTCGCGTGGGACGCAGCGAAGGTTACGACGATTTCTTTAAATCTCGAAAAAATCTTCCAAAACTTGGAAACCACGATGCTCAGGTAGTGGTGATCGAAATAAACAATTCCAACCTTGATTCAAATTTTCCTTTTTATTTTTCAAGTCTGAATCTTGGCCGCAATATTCTGTCGACGAACCCTTTTCAAGACCTATAAAAAGGCGCGTGGATTATCCATCGGTTGATGGTAACAAATTTCTTTAAAATCGGTAAAATTGAAACGACAAAAAATTTAATTCAATTTACATCTTTTTTTTGATAGATTGGTCGTGGCAACACTTTCCTCTCGCGATAGAAGGACCACGAGAACTCTGGCGAACTCTGGCTGGTTATTCTAAGGACACGTCGGACGAGTACGTTTATAAAAATTATTAAAAATTATTAAAAAGAGTTTCGATTAGAAAAATATTCAAAAGCTCGGCTACTTTTTTTTCACTTTCGTTTCGTTTCTTTCGACAAGTGTTGACAACGAAATATGGAAACGAAAAAAGAGGACGGGAAACGAAGCCATGGCTTCCGAGGAGAATTAATGGAGCGACATGACGACGTTATTATGCCCGTGGATGAATATATTTAATGGTCATCGTCGGTGTTTAAGGTGTTGGGTAAACTATTATGAAAAATAAATATGTAAATAGAAAACGAATCCTTATTTTCTAATTTCCTGTAACAAATACTATTCTCAATAATATTCTCAGGTAATTTTTTTGCAATATGAAATATCACTATACGAAATATTTCAAAGAATTCTTTTACAAGACCGTTTCTTTTTTTTATTTATCGATTTATTCAAGGGTTGTTATTTAAAGATTATTATCAAAAATGAAATTGCCAGTCATGGAACAGTGAATAAAAGACAACATATAATTCCAAAATATTCGTTGCCAAATTTTTCTGCCAGATGGCTTTACACGTGTCATCGATTGTAGTCCTTAAAAAAAAAAAAAAAAAAAAAAAAATGACACGCTTTGCCACATCTGCGTCGAAACGATTAAAAAGTTTTATTAATAAATAATAATCTCTTCTAGATATAATTCTCATATTATTTATGAATTTAATATCCAGGATTTGAAATAATAGATATTAAAAAAATATTGAAAAATCTTTACAAAATTTCAATAAAGAGAATCTATTTCACTGCATAGTCATTCGTGAAAAGGATTGTGCAACAATCGTAATGCATATCCCGTCACTGAAAAAGGAATAGGTTAAAAGGCGGCAGTCTTCGAAAGGATCGAAATTGCAGTTTCAAGCGTCCGCTGTCAGTTTTCATATGGAAGATAATTTTCCTAGATGTTATATTCGAAACGTGAGCGTACGCGTATGTACGTACATAACAACCGAGTCTCGCGTAATTGTCGATTATCGATCTTGCGTGGCGTGCGTAAAAAATAACACGGGAAAGGGTCACATACATAATATCGCGTACGCTTGTACAGTTATTGTGAAAAATATACGAAAGAAAGAAAAAAACTACCCCTTTTTTACTCCACGCGATATAGATTATTGTAATTTTATTCGTTATTTTAATTCTTAAAGATTGAAGATGCTAATACTATCTTTACAATTTTTTATAATAATATGGAATATATTAATCCGCGTATTTCGATGATACTCGTAAAAAAATTATGTTAATGAAAGAATAGAACTTTGATCAGCCACGTGATTGTTCGCATCATATATTGGTTAAATAAAACGAATCTCTAGAAGATATCTCTTTAGTACCATTTTATGGAAACTTTCAAGGAATTTTCATCTACTATCGATAAATCTTAAAATTTCCTTGATTAAATTTTACGTAACAAAAGATGCAATTTCTTAAATTTTATCTACAATTCGGTATATTCTTTACAATGAAAAAGTTCTCCGTTCGTACAATTTCAATATTATAAAATATAGTTTATAAAATATTATATAATAAATCATATTGAAATATAAATTCTATAAATATCAATTCTATCGATCCTATCGATTAAAAAATTGATTAAACAAAGTACGAAAATTAGTCGTAATAACGTTTCCAACTACGCGTTAATAAAATTTAACGAAACAAATTATTTGATCAAACTTCCGTGTTGAGTTTTCAGCGCGCATTGGAAGATGGCGCCACCAAGCAGAATTGAAGCCTCAACTTTCCACAACCTGCCGCGAGCTGACGCCACCAAGCAGAATCGAAGCCTTATCTTTCCAAATCTTGCCGCGAGCTGGCGCCACTAAGCAGAATCAAAGCCTTAACTTTTCAAAACTTGCCGACAGCTGGCGCCACCGATATCTCTGTCGAGTTATTCTCTCCCTGTGTACTCTCGGCTGCACCCCGAGACAATAAATTGTTGTAATTATAATAATCCCGGTGTTTAAATCAATGCTTGGTGTTTACGCGGAGGCAACCGTGTAACCGGTAATTTCAATTCATTATTCTTACAAAGCCATATTCGGTCAACCATCTCTTTCGTTCCATCGTATCGTATACCCTTAACCGAATTCCCGTATAGCGTAAATCAGCCAATAAGGAACAATAAGGAAGAAACCAGGCCTTTTTTTTCGAGTCCGAGTACCACATTCACGAGATCGCGCACACTAGATCGTCTCGTCATCGATAGATCCAGCGTGCAGCTTTCTAAACATCGACTAATTACCCCGATGAGGATGCAGAGAGTTGCAATCCTCGAAGAAGCGTTGCTTGGAACCAGCCGCGTAATTAAAAGCCGCGCTCTCCTCCTCGTTCCCCCGAACGAGCGACCCATACATCTCGCCGTAAACTTTCCAAATAATTATACCGAGTATTATTTAATTCAAGTAATGACTACCGTGGCGAGACCGAATGCCGTAACACAACAGGGCCGAAACAGAGGAAAGGAAGGGTGGAGGAGGACGTAAGATGAGAGAAGTAAGATTTGTCCTGGATCTTAAAGTCGCGTCTCCCTTCCACGCCTCCCTCCTCCCTTTCCCCCTCGCCGCTCTCTGCTCGCGTGAATAATTCGCACGTAAGACGAATTTCACGTTCCCGCGAGGCCAAGCGTACATATACGATTTTTTTCATCGAACACCATCGCCGAGTTTCCGTGAAACACGCCACCCTCCCTCCTCCACCCCTCTGTCCCCCTCTCGGTATTATCCGAGGCGCGAGATGTGTCAGAAGACACGAGGAGAGATGCTGCGCACGGGGGAGGACGAGAACACCAGTGAACAACCGGGCTGGTTTGCACGTAGCAATTTACGGAAACCGCACGTAACTCGCGTTCGAGGCGGAGGGACGAGGACGAAGTCGACACGGAGCGTTTCCACGGAGTGTTACGTAACGGATCGGCGCTAGATCGCCGGCCAGAGTAACTGTATTTTCGAAGAAGAAGAAGCCTCTCCTTGGCCGAGGAGGAAATCACGAAGCAGAACTTCGCCTCTGGGACCGGGATGACGGCGTGTGGGCCTTCTATTCTTCCATTTTTCCGCCACACCGATACCTTTCTTCCAAACGTGGTGGTGGATAGGAGAAAAAAAATATATATCGGCCAGTTGGCCATTGAGTGTTTTTGCCCGTGGTGCAGGTGAACGATGCTGTTGATTAACTATCGAAAGATTAGTTCTATTGTAATATCGATCGATCGATGGAGGAACAAAGGTGGAGGAATGTTATGCTTCGTTGTATGCTAATCAGGTGGTAAGAAGCGTGTATGAAGGGGTGCGAGGTGTAAGATATTTCGTTATTATAAATTATTGAAACGTTCGAATTTAAATTTAAATATGAATTTTAAATTCAGAGGTTTGGAATATTACTTATTGAAGGTGTCTAACATAAATATTGAAGATTTTTTAACGAAAGTAGATAATGCATTTTGATGTACTTTATGCAAACTGTAATTTACGACTGTTCACGATTTCATCGATTTCCTAGTTTAATTTTTTTCAAGATGATCAAAGCTAGGAACTGGACAGGTGAAGGACATTAATAAGTAATCAATAATAAAGCTTGATACAAAATAGGTAGGGTAACTCTTATATATTATTATAATTTTTCTATTGCTCTATAGTACACACACGATTATTTCGTTTTCGCATTCAGCGATCAATTCAAACGATCGGTGATTACACCGATGACTAATCTTTTTTGCCATTACTCGGTGAAGATCGAGTGGAAATTCTTTTCCAGATCCATGAAATCACACGATATTCAATCAATGAGGAATCGTTGAAAAATGCTGCAAACACTGCGAGAAATTTGCAATTTTCTCAACGAATTATTCAAAAGAAAAATGATCCCGATTTATTCCTAAACAAAAATGCGCTCAATTCCAATCTTAAACTTTAAAGAATTTAATCTCATCTTTTAGAAGCTGGATTCTCTCACGAATCTCCATCTCTCTCGATCTCCACCATAAAAGAAAATCATCTCTTTCCAGAGATCGTTCAGAGAGGAACAACGAATCGACAGACGATGAAACGAAAAGAACCGGAAGAAGGTCGAAAGCGGAAGTTGCATGGGCAACAACTAGTGAACAATGCGCGTGTCCCGTGTCTCAGTCGTTTAATAACCCTGATTTGTCGTTTATACGGGACGTAATGGAGAACGACAGAGATAGGAACGAAGAGACAGAAACAGAAACGAACGACAGACGAGGAGGAAGAGAGAGAGAGAGAGAGAGAGACGAGCAGAACATAGTAGAGGAGAGAAGGGGTGGTGGCGATGATGGGATGAGAGGGTGAGCATCGAGATCGCGCGCAACAACCGTACATAATCACGTAATGCGGTTATCATGCCAATTGCGTAAATATTTGAGCCAATTTGTGGCATGCAACCGACTCTCTCTCTCTCTCTCTCTCTCTCTCTCTCTCTCTCCTCGACCCGTGCACTGCTTCACGAGACCGCCACCCGATCGGCGACCTATTTAACGAACAACTTGTTGTCGCTGTTCGCCATCCTCTGTGAATCTCTCTTCCCTCTCTCTTTTATTTCTTTCCACGATGCCCACCTCCCTGTCCTTGTCGCACGTTTGCACGAGGGATAATAATTCGACGGTGTCGCCGAAACACATTTCGACCGCCACCACTCCTACGATCGACAATGGGACATAACCGCGATACTCTCGTGCTCTTACATTCGCATGCACATGGGAGCGGATCGATCGCTCAACGCGATAAAAAGCTTTGGGAATTGCCAGGGTCGATATTTCTTTTTAGGATATTCTTTTTATGGGAGGAGAGGGATTGGGAGTGTTTCTCTCGTAATTTGGTAATGGACTTGATTCGACTGCGATGCGTGGTGTACATATATATATATATATATGGAGGAAGTAAATATGATGTGTTATTCGATATCTTCCGTGGAATCTTCATATGAGAATGGTTTCTCGCGTAATTAATATACAGTGATAGTTACTTGAAAATTTTACTTAAGTGAGAAGAATATCTTTTACTAGACAAGAAAGTTTCACAAATTTGGAGGTATGATTTGAATCATTCGATGTCGCAATTAATTCGAGAATTTTATATCTCACGATTCGAGGAAATTGATCAGTAATGAAACTCGCCTCCTCGTGCTTAAATCTACGCAAAAAACTACTTCGGTAGAAGGTTTCATCTTAATCCCTCCTCCCATAAAAGA